GAGATGGTTGTGGACTTCAGGAAGAATACAGCCCCACTCACCCCCATCACCCTGTTAGACTCCCCAGTCAAAATTGTAGAGTCCTTCCGCTTCCTGGGCACTATTCTCTCCCGGGACCTCAAGTGGGAACTGAACATCAGCTCCCTCACCAAGAGAGCTCAACAGAGGATGTACTTTCTACGGCAGCTGAAGAAACTCAACCTGCCAAAGACAATGATGGTGCAATTCTATACAGCGATCATTGAATCCATCCTCACCTCCTCCATAACCGTCTGGTACGCTGCTGCCACTGCCAAGGACAAGAGCAGACTGCAGCGTATCATCCACACTGCTGAGAAGGTAATTGCCTGCAATCTACCAACCCTCGAGGACCTGCACACGACAAGGTCCATGAGGCGAGCGAGGAAGATTGTGGCCGATTCCTCCCACCCTGGACACTCTCTGTTCCAGCTACTCCCCTCCGGCAGAAGGCTTCGGTCCATCAGGACCAAAACCTCACGCCATAAAAACAGTTTCTTCCCATCTGCTGCTGGCCTGTTAAACAAGGCTTACACTGATTTTAACATTTTATCTACATAATGACACCTTGCCGATATTAACTATGCTAACCTATTTGTATTTTTTATTTTTAAATTATATCTTAAAGCTATTTTATATTCGATATTTATTCAATTTTATATACTTCAGCCCCTTGGTGTTAGTTAGACTTTTAACCCTTATTATAGTAAGACTTGTTTAAAACTTATTTAAGATTTTAGATTCCTATATGTTGAATGTATGCACCATCCTGCCAAAGTAAATTCCGTGTCGGTGTGATCTTTCATGGCGAATAAAACCCTTTCTGATTCTGATTCTGATCAGGTAAAACCAGGTAAAATCAGGCCAAATAAAGTAAAATCAGGTAAGTGCAGTAAAATCAGGTCAAGCGAGGTAAAATCAGGTCAAGTGAGGTAAAATCAGGTAAAGTGAGGTCAAATAAGGTAAAACCAGGTCAAGTGAGGTAAAACCAGGTCAAGTAAGGTAAAATAAGCTAAAATCAGGAAAAGCGAGGTAAAACCAGGTCAAGTGAGGTAAAATCGAGCAAAACCAGGTAAAGTGAGGTAAAACCAGGTCAAGCGAGGTAAAATCGAGGTAAAATCGAGGTAAAACCAGGTCAAAGTGAGGTAAAGTCAGGGCAACGTCAGAGCGATATCCCCTCCTTCCTGCTCCCGGGAAGCAATGGAGGCGGCGCCTACCCGCGTGCTCGCTCGCCCGCACCGCCGCGCTGCGCCGCGTGAGAGAAGTCCCCACGGCGGCTGCGGTGCGAGTGCCGAGTTCACGCACGGGACCAGCGGCTGTTGGATCTCGCGCCCCTCTCCTTGTTGCGATCATGAGCCCACACGCGCGGGAGCGCTCATGCCGGGGACGATGAACGGCTCCCGTAGCGTGCCGACCCGCACCGTGCCAAACCCACCGGCGTGTTGGAGAGTAAATCCGCATCATGTGTGATGTCAATTACGACGGCTGTGTGGCGGTAACAGCTAATTGGCGCGCATTGTTCACGTGACGAACCTTGCCGGCTGTGTCGGGTGGTGGGAGGGTTAACGACGCGTTTACACTTAAGGGATCTAACTCCAAAAAAAAAAACCTTATTCATCGATAACATCGGTCGCGAAAGCCTACGTGTTAAACTTATATGAGACTATCGTTTTAAATGAAAAAAAAGAACGGATAATAATACACTGTAACACGATAACGATCAAAGTAATGAGGGCTCGGGGTGAGCATCTACATCATTAGACCTCCTTTGCCAGTACCAAAATGTAATAATAGGGTTTTCCCCTTTTTTCTGGCAACAAACTGAAAACTTTTTACAAGGATTCATGTTTACTGCATTAACCACTAATACCTGCAGTCAAAATGCAAACAAAAAACACACTATGATAATATGATGCATTGTCCTTGAAACTGATTGGTCCACACCAAGGGACGGCTTTCTTTTGAGCCTCGACCCAATTGGTGCTCGACCAGATGACGCCAAAAGGTTAATGCAGTAACATGAATCCTTGTTAAAAGGTTTCAGTTTTGTTTTGCCAGAAAAAAGGGGAAAACGCTATTATTACATTTTGGTACTGGCAAAGGAGGTCTAATGATGTAGATGCTCACCCCGAGCCCTCATTACTTTGATAGTGGCATTGTCTTTGAGCTGTGTGACGCCTTCTGGCGTCATCTGGTCGAGCACCAATTGGGTCGAGGCTCAAAAGAAAGCCGTCCCTTGGTGTGGACCAATCAGTTTCAAGGACATTGCATATATTATCATAGTATGTTTTTTGTTTGCATTTTGACTGCAGGTATTGTGGTTAATGCAGTAAACATGAATCCTTGTAAAAAGGTTTCAGTTTTGTTGCCAGAAAAAGGGGGAAAACCCTATTATAACAAATGTAATGTTAAGAGCTTCTAAAAGTCGAGGAGCCTCCGCTCGTTCGGCATCGTTGAATCTCCTCCAGGCGGTCTCCAGAGCCTGGAGGAGCCTTTCTTGTAGCGTTGTTGCAAGTTTCCAGAAGTGTCATAACAAAAAATGTAAGCACCCTGTATAGATGTCAGCTCATTGGGGCCTTTACCTGGTGAAATAAAAATGAAATAGTTTAGTTTTCATTCAGGGAGCTCCGCTGACAGAGTTGGTGGGCTTCAGTCCCGTGAATTAGCATCGCTTCACCATTGTGTATGCGGCGTAAGGGGTAAGAGACGTGATGAGTCTCGAGTTAAGAACAACTATACAGACATCGCTTCACCGTTGTGTATGGGGCGTTGGGGTTAAGAGACGTGATGAGTCTCGAGTTAAGAACAACTATACAAACATCGCTTCACCATTGTGTGTGGGGCGTAGGGGGTAAGAGACGTGGTGAGTCTCGAGTTGAGAACAACTATACAGACATCGCTTCACCATTGTGTGTGGGGCGTAGGGGGTAAGAGATGTGGTGAGTCTCGAGTTGAGAACAACTATACAGACATCGCTTCACCATTGTGTGTGGGGCGTAGGGGTAAGAGACGTGGTGAGTCTCGAGTTAAGAACAACTATACAAACATCGCTTCACCATCGTGTGTGGGGCGTAGGGGGTAAGAGATGTGGTGAGTCTCGAGTTAAGAACAACTATACAGACATCGCTTCACCGTTGTGTGTGGAGTGTAGGGGGTAAGAGACATGGTGAGTCTCGAGTTAAGAACAACGATACAGACATCGCTTCACCATTGTGTGTGTTGCATAGGGGTAAGAGACGTGGTGAGCCTCGAGTTGAGAACAACTATACAGACATCGCTTCACCATTGTGTGTGGGGCGTAGGGGGTAAGAGACGTGGTGAGTCTCGAGTTAAGAACAACTATACAGACATCGCTTCACCATTCTGTGCGAGGCGTAGGGGGTAAGAGATGTGGTGAGTCTCGAGTTGAGAACAACTATACAGACATCGCTTCACCATTGTGTGTGGGGCGTAGGGGGTAAGAGATGTGGTGAGTCTCGAGTTGAGAACAACTATACAGACATCGCTTCACCATTGTGTGTGGGGCGTAGGGGTAAGAGACGTGGTGAGTCTCGAGTTAAGAACAACTATACAAACATCGCTTCACCATCGTGTGTGGGGCGTAGGGGGTAAGAGATGTGGTGAGTCTCGAGTTAAGAACAACTATACAGACATCGCTTCACCGTTGTGTGTGGAGTGTAGGGGGTAAGAGACATGGTGAGTCTCGAGTTAAGAACAACGATACAGACATCGCTTCACCATTGTGTGTGTTGCATAGGGGTAAGAGACGTGGTGAGCCTCGAGTTGAGAACAACTATACAGACATCGCTTCACCGTTGTGTGTGGGGCGTAGGGGGTAAGAGACGTGGTGAGTCTCGAGTTAAGAACAACTATACAGACATTGCTTCACCATTCTGTGCGAGGCGTAGGGGTAAGATGCGTGGTGAGTCTCGAGTTAAGAACAACGACCAGAAGAACATCTCTACATCAGAATGAGAATATTTTATTTATACTGCAGGAGGAATCCGATCATCTATAAAGCTCTTTTTCACCTGTGTGATTGCCAACAAGGCTTTGCCACCAAGGACTAAGTCATGTTTTGCAGAGGGGTCAAATACTTATTTCCCTCATTAAAATGCAAATCAATTTATAACATTTTTGACATGCGTTTATCTGGATTTTTTAGTTGTCATTCTGTCTCTCACTGTTAAAATAAACCTACCATTAAAATTATAGACTGATAAAAAATTTTTGTCAGTGGGCAAACGTATAAAATCAGAAGGGGATCAAATACTTTTTTTCCCTCACTGTAGAGGCGTAGAAGTGGTGACTACACTCCTGCGCTCTTGCCCAAAGTTGGGGGGGGGGTTGATTAATGAGTCAACGTACATTATGCATGTGCATTATGCGAGCCCTTTGATCTTGTCCTTCCTGTCCATTGCGTGTATTACCCCTATTCAAGTATGGTTCCCCATTCTGGACGAGCAGCGGCAAATCTCGACGGCGAGGCCCTCCCGGTTTACCGAGCTCCTCGCCCGATCGCGGACAGCGAGCCCGGCAACTCTGTGGAGAAACCTTCATTCCGGTCTCTTGTACTCGTGACCTCATCCTTTCGGTCATTACCCGAATCTCACGACCACGGGTGAGAGTGGGAACGTAGATCGACCTGCAGAGCGAGAGCTTTGTTCGAGGACTCGGCTCCCGGTTCGCTGTCACGGAACGGCGCGCCGGGCGATCTCCCGCTCCCACTGACCGTCACTCGCGGAAGAGACCCCCCCGAGTTACTTAAACCCCTCCACTAAGGGCAGCCGTTCCCCCCTCACCTGGACAGAACAATCCGCTGTCTCCCGAGAGTGAACCGTGGCCTCAGACTTGGAGGTGACAAATCCACAATCCTAAGCCGCCTCACGCCCCGGCATCGAAACGCTCGAGAGGACAAAGTCATCTGCAAAAAGCGGCAACGCCACCCCCCCCCCCCCCCCCCGTGCCACCGTACTGGATACTCTGCATACCTCGGCTGTGCCTTGATACCCTGCCCATGAAAATCACGAACAGGAGTGGAGCCGCGATGGAGGATGCGACCCCACCAGCTGCTTCCAGGGCTGCCTCCTGATAGGAGGGGCACGTCCACCGGGTCGAGGGGCTCATCAAAGTGTTCCCTTCCGCCTCTCGACTATCTCCTCGGTTGAGGTCAACGTTACGCCCCCACCCCGACTGAGAACATCCGGGGCCACGTCCCGTCGACCCCTCCGAAGGCGTCGAATGGTTTGAGGCTGCCCGGCGGTCTCCACTCCACGGCCTCTCCAAACTCCTCCCCATGCCCAAGGGGCTCTCGCCTCAGCGGCTGCTGCCACCCTCTTGGCAAGCCGATACCTCTCAATCGAGCCCGGAGGCCTTCTATCCGAGCATGGCTCGGATAGAAGGCCTCCTTCAACTTGACAAAAGAAAGTTCGACATGCATACAAACATACGCATTGTCGGTGGTAAAGGGAATCCATGGGCAGCGAAGGTGGTGGTGGTGGTGGTGGTGGGGTGGGTGCATAGTGGCACTCCGCGATCTATTGTAGTAAATCGTGCCATGCGGTGGTACACTCTTGCGGTGCATGGCATTGCTCTTGGGGCATGTGTGGGTATGTATCGCGGTGCGTGGTAATCACGCCGTGGCTTTGCGTTGGGATTTTTCTGGGCATGATGCAGCGGAGCTTTGGGCGGTGACTTCCTCCTGCCACTTGCCTCTCGGACCTCAGGATGGTTAGGAGAACAGCAGCAGCGCCAGCAGCCCCATAGCCACAGTCGCCGCTTCACTTTTGCTGACCAAGCAGTGGGATGCCAGCGAATTGGTCTCTGCGGTGTGGGAAAGATAGGCACATACGCGCACACACACACACAAACGGACAAACATTATTAGGCGCCGCCACTCTAGGGCGGGCTCTAGGTTCAGCAGTAGCCAGCAGAGTCTCCAGCTCCTTCTTGGAAAGAGGAAAACAAATCTCAGCGCTGGTGCAGCCACAGAAGAAACCTCAAGACTGCGTGGTCGAAAAAAATGTGTCAGTGGTAAGAGCCAGAGGACTTCCCTGTCGCACCCGAAGGTGAACAAGGGATCACTGATCCCTGGCCATGCAGGTTTAATTGGGGCTGCCCGCCAACATGAAGGTCCTTCATAATACAGTTTTGTTTGGGTTAGATCGCGTAAATATTTAAATGTGTCATTAAACCCGCCACCACACAACACAGCCAGTTAGTAAGGTTTGTCACGTAAACAGAACATGCAAAATCGTTACTAGTGTAGTGACTAACCCGGAGACGATAAGACTTGGAAGCACTTCTTTATCAACGAGCACCATCGGGATTAACACACTTTAATGATTAGTCCGTCTATTATCGGCGACACTACTCAGCCAGGGCAGTTGGTAGGCTGTCGGACTTAGGGGCGCCCCGAGATGGTAGAGACGGAGACGACAACGAGAAGAACGGTGAAGACGACGAGAAGAACGGCGACGAAGGACTTCAGCAGCACGACGGAGATCCCACTCCAACAACAGCCCCGAGGTCCCCCACAGGAGCCTCCTCTTATGCCGTCAGCGTGGCCTCGCTTCTCTTCAGCCACGCCCCCTTTCCGGAACCGACCAGCGGGTTCCTGGAGTGGCCCTTCTGTGACCTTTCCCCTAGATCCCCCCTCTCGTGTCTATCCTGGCCTGGTGATGTCAGGACTGCCGTGCGCCGCAGATCCCCTTTTATGTCAGTAGCCAATGCTATGCCACTACACTCGTGCAGCACACCGGTTGTGTGTGTGAGAGAGCCAAGCCACGACATTTACAATCTGAGTACGACGTTTCGCCAGTAATTACAACCAGCTTCATCAGGCAACAGCCAGATTTGCGGAAAAGTCCACCTGTTTCGTTCCTTAGAGGCGTAGATGTAATGACAACACTTGTGCACTCCTGAAGTGTGGGGGGGGGGGGGGCGGGGGATTAATACAATAAATCAACGCGCATTATGCGAGGCCATTGATCTTGTACTTCCTGTCCATTGTGTGTACTAAAATAGCAGTACCAACGTTAATCCCTGTTGAAGTATGGTGGCCTGTATGAAGGTCCTTAACGGTCGGCTTTCCACGCACACCTCATCGCCACGTGCTCACATTCTTTCCCTTGTTTGTTCAAGAAAAAGAGCCACCCCCCCCCCCCCCCCCCCCCCCTGTTGTTTGATGCTATCCTGCTACGATCTAAATGGCTGTCCGCTTCTTGTGATGAATGAAACAAGTCCACTGGACCTTTGTATGTTCCACACAGTTCCAGGCCATGCTGGTCCAGCTCCTCACAGCCGAACAGCAGCCTCTCCTGACCAGGAAGCATTCAGACATGCCACGTGGTTAGCCACGGTGATTGCCGGTTGATTTTGGAGGCTCATCGATGGGGCTTACAGTCTCCCTGGCTCCACTCTGCGGGGATTTCTTGGGCCAGGAAAAGAGTTTCGATTTTTTTCTCGACTACTACATTGTTCCTCGGCAATTACATTTAAAAAACAGAGGGCTTGACCCAGCCGCCTTGAAATTGCCCCCCCCCCCGGTAGCCACTGTGGTGGATGTGATTGGGTGATGAGGTTAGACAACAGTCAAAACGCTCTAGCCTTTGCACTGTTGGCATTGCTCACAAAACGCACCGCAACATTGCCCTCACACCAAGAGGGCAACTGCTTGAGAAGTAATTTTTCAGGATGAGAGTCTTCTTTGAGACTCTGGGAGACCATCGTCCGTTATGATCGGAGACTAGATGGGGACTTTGCTCCCAAAAAAAAAAACAACAGGTTTCACAACTCACGAAGCGTGCATACAGAGTTTTGCTCACGAAATGCACGCAAATCACACGAGTGGCTTCGGATTTGAGTCTGGTTTGGCAGCAACATGACAGGGTGGGGGAAGTCAAATGTAGGCAAAGAGAGTGGATCGTCGAGCTTGGAGTGTGATACTATTCCATGCAGTCCTCTACCACATCAAACTTATATTCCCCAACCGGAACCTGTGATCCGAGCTATGGGAGTCCCCCCCGTTTCTAAGCTACCTTCATCAACTTTGTCTGAGAGAAGACTATCTTCAGACTCCTAGTGTCTAGGCACGTGGCAAAGAAATATACAAAAACGATCAGAACTGCCAAAAACCCTAATTCGGAAGATAATCATAAAACCTTCACAAAAAAAATGGTGGCCATCCCAAAAAAAAAATGGCGACCTGCAGTGCCCTTACTGGCCAGAGTGAAAACTGCACTCGACGCGTCTCCACGGCACGGCACCGCCATGAAGTTGTAGCTCCCCAGGTCCCAGAGTTGCATCGACTTGATTTTCAGCGACCCGTTGGCATAGGCTGTCGTCCGTCCTGCGTAGCCGGACCCTTGAAGGAGCTCCTGCGGGTCCTCTGCGCCGCCCGGCAGGATCCACCCGGCCACGGCCTTCCCGCCGAACGTCCACCGGACGGAGGCCTTGCCGAGGAACGCGTAGTCCACGGAGAGCAGCAGGTCGGCGCCTTGCGCAAAAGTAAAGGTGTTTACGGCGGGGACGCTCAGGGTTGTCTTGCTGCCGTTGGCTTTGCCTGTGGAAAAGTGGGATATTGCTATCAGTCACTGCCATTTTAGTGAATTCCTCTCATTATTGTTTCGTTTAATTTGGCTGTTAAGCTGTTGGTCGTCACGGACGTGACTTTGAGGTGTGGAGAAAGGGAATTGTAGATGCATGTACGTGTATGTTCAACTTCTTTCGCACCGCGCGTAGCCAACCGTGCAATCGGAGGTGCTGGGAAATGTGGTGTCGAGCAGAAGTCTAGATACGAAGGGGATTTCTATGGAATCGATCTTTCACTAATGGTGCACGTTGTCTCTCAAATCAAGTTCGTTACGCAATTGCTAATAGCTTGTCGTTCCATTGGCTAAAAATGTGCCAAGTGCGATGGTGAACTTTATTTTATTCCTTACCAATGGCAATACTACTGTATAAGAAGTGAGCTATTTTCAGGTTTCACATTCTTCTTGTTTCGTATGGATTGGTTGATGTTAAGGTCTCGGCTGTTCAGATGGGAACTTGTGAAGGGAATATTAGATGTGCATAAGGGAATTTCTTCAGAGGCGGTATTTAATTGACTTGCTAGCATTGGCAAGTATCTGTGGTCTTGCGCTAGGCCGCCTCCACCATCTACTTCCAGGGGCCCTGAGCTATTGCTTTAGCTTGCTTACGGCCTAAGCATGGCCACCACTTAAAGCAATGCCAGGGGCTCTTACCGCTACTCACATTCGAGCTCCAGCAGAACGGAGGCGCTCATTCCATTGCTCACGGGATTCTCAGCATAGCAGGAGTAAATTCCGCGATCTCCATATGTAACGTTGCTGATGCTGCGGTTCACGCTGGTTGAGCTTCCGCTGGCCTGGAGCGTGGCGATGGCAGCGTCGTACTTGTAGAAGGTGAACGAGAGCCCGGTGTTTTTGGTCACGTTTGCTGCCGAGCACTGCAGGGTTGCGCTGCCTCCCAGCATCAGCTGCGAGGGTGCAATGTGCAGTATCGTGTCCGTGATGACCTCTACGTGGAATTTGCGGTGGTGGGGGGGCGGAGATCAGTGGATAAGTCGTGGGCCAACACAAACCTGCCCTGCGAAAGCAATGCTCATGTTGACATTCTTACAACCCCTTATCTTCTTCCGCCGGGACTTACTAGAGAAGCCCTGTTTCAAACTACCTCCATTAACTTGGTGCGAGGAAACCGTAGAAAGAGCCGAGTGTCCAGCCACAGTGCCTAAGACTCCCGATATCCGCATGGCTGATGCCAAAGTCCGAGTGACCAAACCTGCGTCATCTGCAGACCCTGAGTCCCGCACATTACATCTCACTATTATTGATTATATTGATTAACAAGCTTATCCGAAGACCCCCACCACTTCCCACACAAGCTCAATCTGGTTAGGAGGGGGATGGGTGGGGCCTAGACAGGAAGTTGTATATACTGTATGCCTTTTACAAAAATGTATATTAAGTGTCATATTGTCCAGTTAGACATACAGGGTGCTTACATTTTTTTAAACACTTATATGGGGCTATCGTTTCTAATGGAAAAAAGAATGGATACAATGTAACATGATAACAAATGTAATGTTAATATTTTCAAAAAGTCAGAGAGTCTCCACTTGTTCGCCATCGTTGTCAACACGTGGCCTGGACCCTCTCCAGATGGGCTCCAGAGCCCTGGGACACATTTCTTGTGGTACTGTTGCAAATTCTCAGAATTGTTAAACATTTCCTTGAAGCACCCTGTATATGTGTATTAATTGCATTCCGATGGTTAAGGAAAACCAGAAGAGGCACACTAAGTAGCATTCAAACGAGAAGTTGCAAAACAGGTTTGATGGCTTGGGATGATGACCAGTGACACGGAACTGTAACAAATAAATCCTCCCTTGAACTAACAAGGCGTGACCAGGAATGACATCACTGCTGCTGTTTGAACTGTGTAGTGGGTACAGATGGAGACAAGTCCTCTCTGGATGCAGCACGTTTATTTAAAGCAATAATAACGGTAACACAAGGTCCCTGACACAAGGGGGTAATGGCCCCCTTCACCCGATACCCTGGGGAGGTATAGCCTCTGGGCTAGCGTGCCCTAATCACTGGGACCACTCTCTATCTCACAGCCCATCCGGCTAGAGGGGGGACCTAGGGGAGGCTAGCCTGACCCGACCAAGCCAAGGTCCTCGGGTCCCGACTACCGGCCAACTCGGTCCTGGCCCTGACAAGGACTTCGGGTCCGAGGGTCCCCAGGGTCTTGGCTGGTCTTCGGGTCTTCTGCTTGACGACGACTGGCCTAAACCCGTTCAGAGGTCCGGCTTGTATGCGGTTCCCAAGGTCACTCCACCCCTGGCCACGCCTACTCTCTGGAACCTTCAGGAGGGACCTGGAATATTGGGTAGTCCCCCAGCCCCCCCCCCCCCATGGGGGCCTGAGGTGTGTCCCTCCGGTTCCCAACCACCCTCTGGGTTCCCTGGCCTAACGGCGTTACTTGGCACAGGCCGGACTCGCTGTTGCTCCCTGTTGACCCGTGGCTGGCGCTAAACCAGGTCGGTAGTGGTGATGGCGTATTACGCGAGCAATACCCACTGCAACCGTGCCCAGTGCAGGAAATCCACACTCAGAATCTGAGCTGTTTTAATTCACGGCAAGTCTTGGCATTTGGAGAGTCAAAATGTTCAGAATGACTACCGCCGCATATGAATATTCTTAGACATCATGGTATGAAAAACAGGAAGGGGGCGGGTCCTGAAGAGGAAGAGGGCGGGGGTTTGAATGGGAAGGGGCGGGGCTGAAGAGGAAAAGGGCGGGGCATCAACAGAAAAGGGCGGGGCTTGAAGAGGGAGAGGGCGGGGCTTGAATATGAATTGGCGGGGCCTGAACAGGAAACCCAAATAAGCACCCTCCAAATGGAAAAACCCGGAATCTCAAAAGATCACGGCGATTAAAAAAAATAATAAAATTCGCACGTAGAAGAGGAGTGTTTAAACCGTCGATGTAAGGAAACCTGTTGCTTACCGTACACGTTCAGCCTGACGCTGGCTTTGCCATCCGGCTTTTTGTTGTCCACCAAGACGACCCCATAAGAGCCGCTGTCACTCAAGGAGACGTTCTTGAGGAGCAGGGAGCCGTTGGAGTGCAGTACGACACGGTTACGGTAGACAAAGTGAATCTGCAGCACAGAACACGCAAACAATTTGGGAGAGCCATGAGCAGCTGCTGGAATTTCATTTTTGCGAATTTTTTTTCCGCGGGAAAGCCTCAACAGCACTGTTGTGAAGATATGGAAACTACTTTGCTGTAGAGCGATCACGTGGATTGTGGATTAACGTCACCCTGCTGCTCTATTTAAGACCCGGAGCAAGTGATGGCTTTACCATTCTGGCGAATTGCCCAATGATGCTGGATGTATTTACCAGCGAAACGTCATAGTACTCAAACTGTAAATGTTGTGGATTCACTCTTCAACACACCAGTGGGCTAAAGTAGTGAATTATTTGTCTTTTGTCAACGTGACACTTTTTTTGCTGATTGGCCGTGTCGGGTGGTGGAGGGTTACGACACATTTAGAAATAACGCGATCTAACCCAAAAACCTTTATTATGAACATTATTATGAGGAGCAAAATATTTTTATCGGTTTCAGCAAAATAAAGATTCAGCACGTGACTTGTCATACACATTTCCAAGAATAATGGCAGGTTTCTACGGCACGTGGCGGTGACAATAAAAGAAGAAGAACAACCAAAAACATCGAAGACTCACCGAGTTATCGCTCGTGTTGCTCGATTTCCATTGCGCTATGCGAGACGTGAATGTCCACGTTATTTGCGGGTCGTTATCGTTCTCCACGTAGTTGATGCTGAAGAGGACGTCACTGCCAACCACCCCGGTCACGTTCGACATCGGCGGAATGACGTTGATCGCTCCCACGGACTCTGGGGGAGGACGCAAGGGGAAGCGACGAGGAGAGGAGAAGCACGCAACACACTCACACTCCATCCTCTCATCTCACTCCACTCCCCTCCACACACTCTCCAACCTCTCCCCTCTCATCTCACTCCACTCCTCTCCACTCACTCTCCTACCTCTCCCCTCTCATCTCACTCCACTTCCCTCCACGCACTCTCCAACCTCTCCCCTCTCATCTCACTCCACTCCCCTCCACTCACTCTCCTACCTCTCCCCTCTCATCTCACTCCACTCCCCTCCACGCACTCTCCAACCTCTCCCCTCTCATCTCACTCCACTCCCCTCCACGCACTCCCCTGCCTCTCCCCTCTCATCTCACTCTACTCCCCTCCACGCAATGTCAACGATCCGCAATGATGAGAATTCTCTCTTTCGACCTGGAACCACCAGCCGAGACCAGCATATGTTGGGATTGCACAGGGTCCGAGGTAAGGCCCCCCCAACTGAGCTGTGGTAACACAACGAATAAAATCTCAAGTTGGCGGCTCATCATCATCACCATCAGCATCATCATCATCATCATCAATCGCGCCAAATACTCGAAAGCACGCGGTTGTTTCAGAGGCGGCCAGCGTCTACCGAGCCGCCCCGCCGCACAAAGTTGGCGAGCCGGCCGTCAGCGGACCGGGTCGCCTCCGCGGTGGGCCGCGACGGGGCCGCCGATTGCGTCGGGCCGCTAGCGCTTTCCCAAAACTCGGCGCCCATCGCAGCCACCGCCGCCCGGCGCCTAGCGCGCTCAGCGGGGAGCGCCGCCTACCGTAAACGTGGAGCCTGACGGCCGCCGCGCCGTCCGCCGTGGCGAAGTCCACGATGCCGACGGTGTAAGAGCCGGCGTCGGAGAGCGACACGCCCCTGAGGAGCAGGGAGCCGTTGGGGTACAGCGCGACGCGTCCTCGGTAGCTGGCGTGAATCTGCGGCGGTCGGGGCAACGCAAGCGGGGGTGGGGGGTGGTGGGGGGGGGGGCGGGGGGGGGGGCGGGGGGGTTACGGGGGGAAAGCACGCAGGGATTGCGCATTGACCCCTGGGATTGCTCATTGACCCCGGGGATGTCACATTGACCCCTGGGATGGCACATTGACCCCGGGGATGGAACATTGACCCCGGGGATGGAACATTGACCCCGGGGATTGCACAGTGACCCCGGGAATGGCACATTTACCCCGGGGATGGAACATTGACCCCGGGGATGGAACATTGACCCCGAGGATGACACATTGACCTCGGGGATGGCACATTGACCCCGGGGATGTAACATTGACCTCAGGGATGGCACATTGACCTCAGGGATGGCATATTGACCCCGGGGATGTAACATTGACCTCAGGGATGGCACATTGACCCCGGGGATAGCATATTGACCCCGGGGGATGGAACATTGACCTCAGGAATGACACATTGACCCCGGGGATGGCACATTGACCCCGGGGATGGAACATTGACCCCGGGAATGACACACAAATATACAGCAGCAGGCGTCAGTGTCGGGATCAAACCCACGACCTCCTGCAGACCAGGCGAGGTAGTTAACATTTCGCCACGTAGTAGCCGTAGTAGTCGTAATATTATCCACAGTAAAACATTTTTCGCTGGGGTTAGAGCGTGTCGTAAAACCCGCCACCACCCGACACAGCCAATTAGTAAAGGGTTGTCACGTAAACAGAACGGACCCAATGGGTGACTTAGTGGCGGATGAACCGGTTGTGTGTTGTTCTTCTTTCCTGGTTTGTGCAACGCTAAAAGATGAAAGCCGGTGTTGGTGACGCTTTACGACAGAATGAATCAACAAAGCGACGCATTCCCGCCGGAGGTAACGATGCCAGTGCCGGAAGATCCTCGTAGCACAAGTAGCTGCATAAGTAGTCACTACTATACACTACCCTATCCACTACCCTATACACTACTCAATACACTACCCTATACACTACTTAAAACACTACCCTATACACTACTCTATACGCTGCACTATTCACTACCCTATACACTACTCAATACACTACCCTATACACTACTCTATACACTGCACTATACAATACCCTATACACTACCCTATACACTACCCTATACACTACCCAATACACTACCCAATACACTACCCTATACACTACCCTATACACTATACATTACCCTATACACTACTCAATACACTACCCTATACACTACTCTATACACTACCCTATACACTACCCTATACACTACCCTACACACTACTCTATACACTACCCTATACACTACCATATACACTACATTATACACTACTCTATACACTACCCTATACACTACTCTATACACTACCCTATACACTACCCTATACACTACCCTATACACTACACTATACTCTATACACTATCCTATACACTACTATACACTACCCTATGCACTACCCTATACACTACTCAATACACTACCCTATACACTACTTAAAACACTACCCTATAAACTACTCTATACACTGTACTATACACTACCCTATACACTACTCTATACACTACCCTATACATTACCCTATACACTATCCTATACACTACTATACACTACCCTATGCACTACCCTTTACACTACCCTATACACTACCCAATACATTACGCAATGCACTACCCTATACACTACCCTATACACTACACTATACACTACCCTATACACTACTCTATACACTACTCTATACACTACCCTATACACTACCCTATACACTACCCTATACACTACCCTATACACTACACTATACACTACTCTATACACTATTCTATACACTACCCTATACACTACCCAATACACTACCCTATAGACTACCCAATACATTACACTATACACTACCCTATACACTACTCTATACACTATCCTATACACTACCCAATACACTACCCTATGCACTACTTTATACACTACCCTATACACTACCCTATACACTACCCTATACACTAGTCTATACACTACTCTATACACTACCCAATACATTACCCTATACACTACCCTATACACTACCCTATACACTACTCTATACACTACCCTATACACTAGTCTATACACTACTCTATACACTACCCTATACACTACCCTATACACTACCCTATAGACTACCCTATACACTACCCTATACACTAGCCTAAACACTACTCTATACACTACCCTATACACTACCCTATACACTACCCTATACACTACCCAATGCACTACCCTATACACTACCCTATACACTACCCTATACACTACCCTATACACTACCCTAAACACTATAGAGTACTATGCATTGCCCTACACTATACTATATGTAATGAGAGACCACCATCCATTGGGCGACAAGGGGTAACTGCACGGCCACTATCGGGTAACCGGCGTCCAATCCTGAGCGGGGATTACATCTGGGCGGAGCCAGCGAGACCATTCGGGAACCATCGGGAAGGTTCCACGAGGGGGCGTGGCTAGAGGCGGAGCTTAGCTCCGCAGGCTGGACCCGTGGTCGGTGTGGGAAGCTTCGTCGCTGCTCAAACCCCTCCTGGCCATCGACCACGTGGCGGATCCGCCAACGGAGCTCGAGAGAGAGAGAGATAAAGAGGGGGGGGGGGGGGGGGGGAGGCGAACTCTGACTGCGGGACGGAGAGAGAGAGCGCCTCGTCTACGCCAGTTGGAAGGACGGGAAATGCACGGAGAGAGGGAGGAGCGGAACTGTGCAGGAATTCTGTTCGGAATAAGTAATATTTAAGAGTACTTTTTTTTTATTTTAAACTCGTAATGGCAGAACTTCCACGACTCCAGGAAGTGGCCCCCGAAGCTCACCACGACGTCAGGGGGACCGTGGCCAATCACAGGCGACGTCAGTTGAGCGTGGACAATTAAGAGCCAAACCGGAACATCTAACATGTAAAAATAAGATGGTCTAAATTTGTTTTAATAGAATATAGTATTGTCATCAGTATGACACAAGTATAGCAAAGTTTGCAGTCGATACCACATTGGGAAGTGGGTTACAATTGAGTTACAAGATTTGAGGATACAACAACGACAGACAGTGAGTTAAATAACAGGTCCCTGCAGGGTGGGCTGGTAGGACAAGTCTCTGCGCTGTCTATTGCTGATTTTACACCCAACAGCACGAGATTTCACTTCGTTAAAGTATTGAAAGGGGACGGACGGACGGACACATTAATCTATTGCAGGCTGGTACACTCAGTTTACAACTTCGTTCCTACCAGTAAAAGCGTGTAATAATAAAAAGACACCAGTCAAGAGTCGTCGTGGAAGTCGTTTATTACACATGTAGCAGCTATTGTAGCTACTACTACACGTGTAGCTACTACACGTGTAGTAGCAGCTACACGTGTAGTAGCTACAATAGCTACTAGTAGTAGCTACTACACGTGTAGTAGCTACTATAGCTACTAGTAGTAGCTACTACACGTGTAGTAGCTGCTAGTAGTATCTACTACACGTGTAGTAGCTGCTAACTCACTCTGTTGTTGTATCCTCAAATCTTGTGACTCAATACTAGTAGTAGCTACTACACGTGTAGTAGCTACTATAGCTACTAGTAGTAGCTACTACACGTGTAGTAGCTGCTAGTAGTAGCTACTACACGTGTAGTAGCTGCTAACTCACTCTGTTGTTGTATCCTCAAATCTTATGACTCAATACTAGTAGTAGCTACTACACGTGTAGTAGCTACTATAGCTACTAGTAGTAGCTACTACACGTGTAGTAGCTGCTAGTAGTAGCTACTACACGTGTAGTAGCTGCTAACTCACTCTGTTGTTGTATCCTCAAATCTTATGACTCAATACTAGTAGTAGCTACTACACGTGTAGTATCAAGGGCCCCCGCTCGCTAAATGCTTTCAAACTATCAATTCCGGTTCAGTGATTCTGCACTTGCTCTATTACTATAGTACTATACCGCCTTCAACTTTTACGACCGACCGGGTGTTTAAGGTGAGCGATTTGTCGTATTTTCTGGCTGTATAGCGAATAGAAAAAAATTCAATTACTGAACTGTGCAAGTTAAACATTAGTGTGGTTTATTTATTATTTATTTATTAAGGGCCCCTTTATAACATCACATGCTACAGGCCCCACACTTAGCTTCATCCGGCACTGAACGGCGCGCAGAGGTGGCTGATCGTTAAAAACAAAAAAAAATATAAACGAGCAAAGAGTGTGAATCGTAAACTCACGGCGTTATCGCTCAAGTTGCCGGATTTCCATTGCGCGATGTTGTTTTTGAACGTCCACGTGATCTGTGTGTCGGCCACATTCCCGGAGTAACTGACGCTGAAGAGAACGTCCCTGTTCACTGTTTGAATCGCATCCAAGGTCGGCTGAATGACGAAAACTCCTGCCACGGCTCCTGAAAAGCACACGAGAAGCACTCCTGACTCCACTGCCCCCACCCACTCTCCCCTCTCACTCTCATCTCACTCACTCCACTCACTCACTCTCCTGCCTCTCATATCACTCCACTCCCACTCACTCCACTCACTCTCCCCTCTCACTCCACTCACTCTCCCCTCTCACTCCACTCACTCACTCCACTCACTCAGTCTCATCTCACTCTCCACTCTCTCTCCACTCACTCCACTCACTCTCCTGCCTCTCATATCACTCCACTCCCACTCACTCCACTCACTCTCCCCTCTCACTCCACTCACTCTCCCCTCTCACTCCACTCACTCACTCCACTCACTCAGTCTCATCTCACTCTCCACTCTCTCTCCACTCACTCCACTCACTCTCCTGCCTCTCATATCACTCCACTCCCACTCACTCCACTCACTCTCCCCTCTCACTCCACTCACTCACTCCACTCACTCAGTCTCATCTCACTCTCCCCTCTCTCTCCACTCACTCCACTCACTCTCCTGCCTCTCATATCACTCCACTCCCACTCACTCCACTCACTCTCCCCTCTCACTCCACTCACTCACTCCACTCACTCAGTCTCATCTCACTCTCCCCTCTCTCTCCACTCACTCCACTCACTCTCCTGCCTCTCATATCACTCCACTCCCCTCCACTCCACTCACTCAGTCTCATCTCACTCTCCCCTCTCTCTCCACTCCACTTAACTCTCCTGCCTCTCATCACCCCACTCCCCCCCACTCATTCCACTCGCTCTCCCCTCTCATCTCACTCTACTCCCCTCCACTCCACTCACTCTCCTGCCTCTCATCTCACCCCACTCACTCCCCTCCACTCCACTCACTCTCCTGCCTCTCATCTCACCCCACTCACTCCACTCACTCCACTCACTCTCCCCTCTCATCCAGGGCCTGATCATGGTCCTGTGAGGCCCCTGGTCACGTGTCTTTTGGAGGCCCCCCCCACAACCCCACCCGCTTTCCTATATTGGTGTCTTTCTTATCTTCCTCCTCGCAAAATCATCCACTCGATCGTCACAATCTCGCTGTCGGACACGGTCGGACTCTATTGACACGGGTGACAATGAGCTGAGACGTGTTTGGTGGCAACGCGCTACTCCACAGCTCATTTTTTATTCTGCTTCAAAGGGAAAATGTCCGCCCACCCTGGCAAAGTTAGACAAATCCGAAGTGCCGCGAAGACATTGGGGAACGTTGACTAGCAGATGAAGTTGCCCTGCAACGTCTCGAGCAACTTAGTTGGGCACCTCTCATCCTCAGAGTCAGACACGAAAGACTTGAGAATTGGATGAGTTCGTTGGCAAAAGTACACGTCCAGGTCTGATGGATACGCAGCGGAGAGGGCATTTACCTTTTCCACTGTGACATCGCTCTTAGACACCTGATCTGACATGAACAGAACTCCAAAGAGACCGGTCAAACGCTCGCAAGCGTCCGAGCGATGTTCAAGGCATGCCACGAGCTTATCGATGACCACATGCAATGTTTCAATTTTGAACTTCTCCCTCCCCTCAAGTGTCACACCTGGCCTCTGAGCTCTCATCTGCAAGTGTTTCGCGTTTCCTCTCTCGCTGAGGATCGTGCTTATATGACCGAGAGAGACACCGGTCACATTCAAGGCTTGCCCTTTCAAAGGCGCTCAAACTGGTCTCGCTCTCCCGCCACAAAATCCCTCAACAGAGACCAAAGGCTGCGCCGTTAACAGAGATGCCAACGTCACTTTTCCGTAGGCGCATGCTTGCAGCGTGGAACCGGTCAAGTATGACGTCCCGGAAACGCGCCATGAGCACCATCTAGTCTCTAGGGAGTCCAATTCAGCACGTAGTCCAGCGGCCTCAATTCGAGTGCCTCTCTTCTCATTATCATTGTGGCACACACCACGCAAGGCCTCTCTAAAATGCGGGCGCAATTCCTCCACTCTGCCCCCGAGCACCCCGCCGAGTACTGGACAAGCGATTTGTTAATGCCAGTTCTGAACATCTCTGCCTTCCGCAAGACTTTTCCCACCATCTGTGCGTGGATGAAGAGCAAAACGTGCGCAGCGATGCCATCTTGTGAAAACAACAGCAGCAACTCGTCAGCCCCTGGACTACTGCCGTCTAATGCGTCAACAGCAAACTAAGTTAAGTTAACGCGCTGCGCAAGGCACAGACTCTAGCACAGGGGGTTTTTAAGTTTCAGGTGGGGCCTGTGGCCCCAATTTGTATTTCCCTGACAAGTTGCATTGTCACGTGACTGACCTCTACAGTTTGAGAGGTCCAACACAAGGCCCTCCGCCTTCAGAGTCACACAGCCTGCTCAACTTTTACCAGCGGTGGTTCGCAATTGGCTCAGAGCCCAGGGAATCGCTCCCGCCACATTCCCGCTGCTGTTCACAAACCGGAATGCGAACGTCAATTGGTCCGCATGTGACACGTCTGGGGGGTGGAGTCGACAATTATTGAAAAATATTTGGCATCCCGAATGTCACCTGCTGTTTGGCGAGTTTTCTGACCCATCATCTCAATGAGTTCTTCACATATTGTCTCCCCTTTCATCTCACTCTACTCCCCTCCACTCACTCTCCTGCCTCTCATCTCACTCCACTCCCCTCCACGCTCTCTCCTGCCTCTCCCTCTCATCTCACTCCACTCCCCTCTCATCTCACTCCACTCCCCTCCACGCTCTCTCCTGCCTCTCATCTCACTTCACTCCCCTCCACGCTCTCTCCTGCCTCTCCCCTCTCATCTCACTCCACTCCCCTCCACGCACTCACTCACTCCACTCACTCTCCTGCCTCTCATCTCACTCTACTCCCCTCCACTCACTCCACTCACTCTCCTGCCTCTCATCTCACTCCACTCCCCTCCACTCACTCCACTCACTCTCCTGCCTCTCATCTCACTCTACTCACTCCACGACTCTCCTGCCTCTCCCCTCTCATCTCACTCTACTCCCCTCCACGCACTCTCCTAACTCTCCCCTCTCATCTCACTCTACTCCCCTCCACGCACTCTCCTAACTCTCCCCTCTCATCTCACTCCACTCCCCTCCACGCACTCTCCTGCCTCCCATCTCACTCCACTCCCATCCATGCACTCTCCCCACTCAGCAGAGTAAAACCCTTCGCCTCTACTGCAGAGATCTTGACCCTAGGTCAGACGTTCGCTTCTCTGGAAAACTGTACTGTAGTTAGGCCTAAACCCTTTTCCCATAAGTGAAACCAGCAACACACCTGTGTCGCCTTGATCTCACCTCTGCCTGTTTCACCTGTATCCGTGTCTCACCTGTTCCTGTCTCACCTGTACCCGTGTTTCACCTGTACACCATGTCTCACCTGTACGCGTGTCTCACCTGTCCCCATCTTACCTGTATCCGTGTCTCACCTGTTCCTGTCTCACCTGTACCCGTGTCTCACCTGTTCCTGTCTCACCTGTACCCCTGTCTCACCTGTACACCGTGTCTCACCTGTACCCGTGTCTCACCTGTTCCCATCTTACCTGTTCCCGTGTCTCACCTGTACACCGTGTCTCACCTGTACCCGTGTTACACCTGTGCCCGTGTCTTACCTGTTCCCATCTCATCTGTATCCGTGTCTCACCTGTACCCGTGTCTCACCTGTTCCCATCTCACCTGTACACCGTGTCTCACCTGTACCCGTGTCTCACCTGTTCCTGTCTCACCTGTACCCGTGTCTCACCTGTACCCCGTGTCTCACCTGTTCCTGTCTCACCTGTACCCGTGTCTCACCTGTACCCGTGTCTCACCTGTTCCTGTCTCACCTGTACACCGTGTCTCTCCTGTACACCGTGTCTCTCCTGTACACCGTGTCTCACCTGTGCCCGTGTCTCACCTGTACCCGTGTCTCACCTGTACCCATGTCTCACCTGTACCCCGTGTCTCACCTGTTCCTGTCTCACCTGTACACCGTGTCTCACCTGTACACCGTGTCTCACCTGTACCCGTGTCTCACCTGTACACCGTGTCTCACCTGTACCTGTGTCTCACCTGTTCCTGTCTCACCTGTACCTGTGTCTCACCTGTTCCTGTCTCACCTGTACCCGTGTCTCACCTGTACACCGTGTCTCACCTGTACCCGTGTCTCACCTCTACCCCGTGTCTCACCTACGTCTCACCGGTCCCCTCTATCACTCACCTGCGAGTGTAGCCCAAACCAAAGGTATCACGAACCAGGTGTGCTCCATGGATCCAAGATGAGCTCACCTGTGTGTGCAGGTTGTGTACGTGTGTGCGTGTGTATGTACCTGTGCGTGTGTGTATGTGTGTGTATGTATGTACCTGTGCGTGTGTGTGTATGTATATATGTGCAGGTGTTGCGTGTGTGTAGGTGTTAGGTTCTTGGTAAAAGAATTTGCCCTGTGAACAGATGTGTGCGTGTGTGTGTGTCTGTGTCAATATATAGTACAGATGTGTGTGTGTGTAGTGCTGTTTGTTTGAATTGTTAAGGCGGGCCTGTGCGCGTAATGAAACCTGCGTATGCGCCTGCGCGTATATGTGTATGCTCCCCTATAGTTTCCGTGCAGTGCACGTACTATATATACCTCTGTATGTGTGTATATGTACCTGTGTGTATATACACCTGTGTATGTGTGTATATGTACACCTGTGTGTATATGTACACCTGTGTATGTGTGTGTATATGCACAATTGTGTATGTGTATATGCACACCTGTTTGTGTATATGCACACCTGTGTATGTGTGTGTATATGCACACCTGTGTATGTGTGTGTTTATATGCACACCTGTGTGTGTGTATATGTATATGCACAGTTGTGTATGTGTGTGTGTATATGCACAGTTGTGTATGTATATATATGCACACCTGTGTGTATGTATGTATATGCACACCTGTGTGTAAGTATGTATATGCACACCTGTGTATGTGTGTGTATATGCACACCTGTGTGTAAGTATGTATATGCACACCTGTGTATGTGTGCGTATATGCACACCTGTGTGTATGTATGTATATGCACACCTGTGTGTATGTATGTATATGCACACCTGTGTATGTGTGTGTATATGCACACCTGTGTGTATGTATGTATGTATATGCACACCTGTGTGTATGTATGTATATGCACACCTGTGTGTGTATATGCACACCTGTGTGTATGTATGTATATGCACAGTTGTGTATGTATGTATATGCACACCTGTGTATGTGTGTGTATATTTACACCTGTGTGTATGTATGTATATGCACACCTGTGTATGTGTGTGTGTATATTTACACCTGTGTATGTGTGTGTATATTTACACCTGTGTGTATGTAAGTATATGCACACCTGTGTATGTGTGTGTGTATATTTACACCTGTGTGTATGTATGTACACGTATAACCGTGTATAAAGGTGTGTTATGGAGAGTGTTGCGCTACCACTTCGGTGCGCGCGAGATCTCGTCGCGTGAGTGACGCCCTCGGCAATCGCCCGCGCGAGAGTTTGTCCAACCCCTGCGTCCACTCGGCACGAAGTCCGCCGGGCTTAATGTCCAATCGCAGGGAGCAGGTGACGTGGGGGGGGGGGGCGGGGCGAAGCCTAGCACCGTGACGTCATGATGACCTCACTGGCGGCGGGACGGTGATGGGGGTCCATCTCACTACCGGGCGCCACGGTGGCCAGGAGATGTTAACTACCTCGCCTGGTGTACAGGAGGTCGTGGGTCCTATCCCTCTCTCATCATCATCACGGTGGCCAGGAGATGTTAACTACCTCGCCTGGCACACAGGAGGTCGTGGGTCCTATCCCTCTCTCATCATCATCACGGTGGATAGGAGATGTTAACTACCTCGCCTGGTGCACAGGAGGTCGTGGGTTCTATCCCTCTCTCATCATCATCACGGTAGCTAGGAGATGTTAACTACCTCGCCTGGTATACAGGAGGTCGTGGGTTCTATCCCTCTCTCATCATCATCACGGTGGCTAGGAGATGTTAACTACCTCGCCTGGTGCACAGGAGGTCGTGGGTTCTATCCCTCTCTCATCATCATCACGGTAGCTAGGAGATGTTAACTACCTCGCCTGGTATACAGGAGGTCGTGGGTTCTATCCCTCTCTCATCATCATCACGGTGGCTAGGAGATGTTAACTACCTCGCCTGGTATACAGGAGGTCGTGGGTTCTATCCCTCTCTCATCATCATCACGGTGGCTAGGAGATGTTAACTACCTCGCCTGGTATACAGGAGGTCGTGGGTTCTATCCCTCTCTCATCATCATCACGGTGGCTAGGAGATGTTAACTACCTCGCCTGGTATACAGGAGGTCGTGGGTTCTATCCCTCTCTCATCATCATCACGGTGGCTAGGAGATGTTAACTACCTCGCCTGGTATACAGGAGGTCGTGGGTTCTATCCCTCTCTCATCATCATCACGGTGGCTAGGAGATGTTAGCTACCTCGCCTGGTGCACAGGAGGTCGTGGGTTCTATCCCTCTCTCATCATCATCACGGTAGCTAGGAGATGTTAACTACCTCGCCTGGTATACAGGAGGTCGTGGGTTCTATCCCTCTCTCATCATCATCACGGTGGCTAGGAGATGTTAACTACCTCGCCTGGTATAAAGGAGGTCGTGGGTTCTATCCCTCTCTCATCATCATCACGGTGGCTAGGAGATGTTAACTACCTCGCCTGGTATACAGGAGGTCGTGGGTTCTATCCCTCTCTCATCATCATCACGGTGGCTAGGAGATGTTAACTACCTCGCCTGGTATACAGGAGGTCGTGGGTTCTATCCCTCTCTCATCATCATCACGGTGGCTAGGAGATGTTAACTACCTCGCCTGGTATACAGGAGGTCGTGGGTTCTATCCCTCTCTCATCATCATCACGGTGGCTAGGAGATGTTAACTACCTCGCCTGGTGTACAGGAGGTCGTGGGTTCTATCCCTCTCTCATCATCATCACGGTGGCTAGGAGATGTTAACTACCTCGCCTGGTCTACAGGAGGTCGTGGGTTCTATCCCTCTCTCATCATCATCACGGTGGCCAGGAGATGTTAACTACCTCGCCTGGTCTACAGGAGGTCGTGGGTTCTATCCCTCTCTCATCATCATCACGGTGGCCAGGAGATGTTAACTACCTCGCCTGGTGTACAGGAGGTCGTGGGTCCTATCCCTCTCTCATCATCATCACGGTGGCAAGGAGATGTTAACTACCTCGCCTGGTGTACAGGAGGTCGTGGGTCCTATCCCTCTCTCATCATCATCACGGTGGCTAGGAGATCTTAACTACCTCGCCTGGTGTACAGGAGGTCGTGGGTTCTATCCCTCTCTCATCATCATCACGGTGGCTAGGAGATCTTAACTACCTCGCCTGGTGTACAGGAGGTCGTGGGTTCTATCCCTCTCTCATCATCATCACGGTGGCTAGGAGATGTTAACTACCTCGCCTGGTGTGCAGGAGGTCGGGGGTTCTATCCCTCTCTCATCATCATCACGGTAGCTAGGAGATGTTAACTACCTCGCCTGGTCTACAGGAGGTCGTGGGTTCTATCCCTCTCTCATCATCATCACGGTGGCTAGGAGATGTTAACTACCTCGCCTGGCCTACAGGAGGTCGTGGGTTCTATCCCTCTCTCATCATCATCACGGTGGCTATGAGATGTTAACTACCTCGCCTGGTATACAGGAGGTCGTGGGTTCTATCCCTCTCTCATCATCATCACGGTGGCAAGGAGATGTTAACTACCTCGCCTGGTGTACAGGTGGTCGTGGGTTCTATCCCTCTCTCATCATCATCATTACGGTGGCTAGGAGATGTTAACTACCTCGCCTGGTGTGCAGGAGGTCGTGGGTTCTATCCCTCTCTCATCATCATCACGGTGGCTATGAGATGTTAACTACCTCGCCTGGTATACAGGAGGTCGTGGGTTCTATCCCTCTCTCATCATAATCACGGTGGCAAGGAGATGTTAACTACCTCGCCTGGTGTACAGGTGGTCGTGGGTTCTATCCCTCTCTCATCATCATCATTACGGTGGCTAGGAGATGTTAACTACCTCGCCTGGTGTGCAGGAGGTCGTGGGTTCTATCCCTCTCTCATCATCATCACGGTGGCTAGGAGATGTTAACTACCTCGTCTGGTGTACAGGAGGTCGTGAGTTCTATCTCTCTCATCATCATCACGGTGGCTAGGAGATGTTAACTACCTCGCCAGGTGTACAGGAAGACGTGGGTTCGATCCCTCTCTCTCATCATCATCATCATCACGGTGGCTAGGAGATGTTAACTACCTCGCCAGGTGTACAGGAGGTCGTGGGTTCTATCCCTCTCTCATCATCATCATCATCACGGTTGCTAGGAGATGTTAACTACCTCACCTGGTGTACAGGAGGTCGTGGGTTCGATCTCTCTCTCATCATCATCACGGTGGCTAGGAGATGTTAACTATCTCGCCTGGTGTACAGGAGGTCGTGGATTCTATCTCTATCTCATCATCATCACGGTGGCTAGGAGATGTTAACTACCTCGCCAGGTGTACAGGGAGTCGTGGGTTCGATCCCTCTCTCTCATCATCATCACGGTTGCTAGGAGATCTTAACTACCTCGCCTGGTGTACACGAGGTCGTGGGTTCTATCTCTCTATCATCATCATCACGGTGGCTAGGAGATGCTAACTACCTCGCCTGGTCTACAGGAGGTCGTGGGTTCTATCCCTCTCTCATCATCATCACGGTGGCTAGGAGATATTAACTACCTCCCCTGGTGTACACGAGGTCGTGGGTTCTACCCCTCTCTATATCATCACGGTGGCTAGGAGATCTTAACTACCTCGCCTGATGTACACGAGGTCGTGGGTTCTATCTCTCTCTCATCGTCATCACGGTGGCTAGGAGATGCTAACTACCTCGCCTGGTCTACAGGAGGTCGTGGGTTCTATCCCTCTCTCATCATCATCACGGTGGCTAGGAGATGTTAACTACCTCGCCTGGTGTACACGAGGTCGTGGGTTCTATCCCTCTCTATATCATCATCACGGTCGCTAGGAGATGTTAACTACCTCGCCTGGTGTACAGGAGGTCGTGGGTTCTATTCCTCTCTCATCATCATCACGGTGGCTAGGAGATGTTAACTACCTCGCCTGGTCTACAGGAGGTCGTGGGTTCTATCCCTCTCTCATCATCATCATCATCATCACGGTGGCTAGGAGATGTTAACTACCTCGCCTGGTGTACAGGAGGTCGTGGTTTCTATCCCTCTCTCATCATAATCACGGTGGCTAGGAGATGTTGACTACCTCGCCTGGTGTACAGGAGGTCGTGGGTTCTATCCCTCTCTCATCATCATCATCATGGTGGCTAGGAGATGGTAACTACCTCGCCTGGTGTACAGGAGGTCGTGGGTTCGATCCCTCTCATCATCACGGTGGCTAGGAGATGTTAACTATCTCGCCTGGTGTACAGGAGGTCGTGGGTTCTATCCCTCTCTCATCATCATCATCACGGTGGCTAGGAGATGTTAACTACCTCGCCTGGTGTACAGGAGGTCGTGGGTTCGATCCCTCTCATCATCACGGTGGCTAGGAGATGTTAACTATCTCGCCTGGTGTACAGGAGGTCGTGGGTTCTATCCCTCTCTCATCATCATCACGGTGGTTAGGAGATGTTAACTACCTCGCCTGGTGTACACGAGGTTGTGGGTTCTATCCCTCTC